ATGAGCCATCCAAAGAGGAAATGTTGCATAATAGGAACCTTTTCCAGCACCTCAGCTTTATACATCTTCAGCATCCCACCATTCACCTTCTTCCAATTAGGCACCGCACTTATATCATCCAACATGGGTGAATGCTCCGCAAACGGACCTTTTTTCACCTTATTTATAAACCCAATACACGAGAGATACATATATTCACTCGAAAAGTTCTCCAAAACATCCTCATTATGAATTGATTTCGGCTTCATATACTTATGATCAATCAATTGTGAACTCCCAAATATAAACGGCAAGAAATGGTAATCATCTAAACCCCAAACCCCGTGTGACCCCGCCGGTTCCAAGCAATAAACAAGCTGAAGCTTCCTCATTAAGTCTAAATATTTGAAAAAATTCTAGCCACCACTGCTTGGTAATCTTCTTCCATAATTAACCCCATTCTGGCTAAGCAATACAACCAGGCTGCAAAATTGGTTTCGTGTCCCGTTCCGTAATCTATTCGGATCGTGTTCCCGAAGCTGTCGGCGAAGTAAGGGACTATTTCGATTGTTGAGGGTTTGAGATCCTCGGGGAGGAACCGTAGCATGAGGGATTCGGTGTTTTCAGTTAAACGTTCGTGCCAGGTTCGATAAGAGATGTTACCGTATCGAGAGGATTGCTGAACGGGTGGGATTTGATCGACCCAAAGAGTTAGGTTTTCGATTATGGAAACGATTTTGGACACGATGGGGGATTCGTGGCATGGGTCGGATATTTTACGGCCGCGGATCGATTCCGACAAGACGACGATGAAACCCAGGAAGTTTTTAGAAGTAGAGGAGTCGTGGAACTTGCGGATGTCGTCGGGGCAAGTGATTTTTTTGGACGGGGTTCGGAAATGAAACGGCGGAGCGATGGTCGGAACTTTTTCGGATTGAGGGACGGGAGTTAACATAATGGCTTGGGTGTTGCTCTGAGGGAGGTTCAAGGCGGGAGCTCGAATGGGTCGGTATATAGGGGGAGATGAAAGGTCCGAACAGGAAGTTGGGGATTGGCTTGGTGGCGCGTAGGTCGTTTCGCTGCTGCCTTTGCAGCAAGTTCCAGTGACGGGGATTGAGGTGGAGGGATGAGAGTGAGTGTGGGGGGCTTCGTCGTGTGGGGATCGCGGCGGATGTGGCTCCATGGCGGTGGCGAAAAATTGCTTGAAATAGGAAGAATTCCGATTATCGTTGGACAATTACGCCTTCAGGGGAAAATCGATCCGTCTTCAAAATGACTGAAAATTCTCTCTTTTCTTTGTGATTGACGAATTTTCCAGACCAAAACTGGATGTTTGCATATCTATTGGGCTACGTAATTAAAACGGTCCATGAGTGCCTATTTGAAAAGCCCAAGGCCATGTTCATAGCAAAATTGACCCAATAAGGCAAGTGGGTAAAAAAATTAGCCCATTAGATCAACCCATATTTTATTTTGGGATTTACGACAAATTTACAGTGCGGGACAAACTCGTCACGCCCACATATCGAGTTTATTTAAATAATATTTTTTATTCAAACTCATCACGTCGACGAACAAAACATACGAAAACAAACAAATTTGAGGTATAGTTCAGACACCTAAAAGTGTATTAAGCCATAAATAAACTGTTAGTATTTGAGATTTAATTAATTAAAGAGTGAATAAAATAAAATAATTGAAAGAAACAGTCGGAGTGGAACTCTACTGGTTGCGCTTTAACGCGTCTAAGATGAAAAGCTTAGAGGAGATTTGTTTAAGAGCAATTTCGTTATCATTGGATTAATTTTTTTCCAGCATTTCACGAGCTCTGTCCTGTTTGGGTGGATAGAAAAGCCGCTTACAGCATCAAAGGGAGGTCGCCATAAACAACACAACGAACAACTAAAAGAGAGTTTTCTCCTTAGTTCAAACGGAAGTAAATTTCCTCTTGGATCATAATTTGATGAAATCTGGATTGTTTTAAGGCCGGTTTCGCGCCATCTTTCCGTTTGCATCTCTACTCTTACGAACAAGATACACTTTTTTTTCTCCTTTTTTTTTGTTATTGTTTTGGGTAAACTACAGAGTTGGTCACTTTTATTTCATTTTATTAAACCTATGGTCACTTGATCCAGAAACGTCAATACGTCGTCACTTTTGTCTCGTTTTAATTAAGACGTGGTAACTGAGAGGTTACATGCCTTGTGTTGAATGACATGGCACGTTAGTCAAAGAGTTTAATTTTTATTTGAACCCTTAAACTTGAGATAAATTACTAATTAGGGATCTTTTTGTAAATCAATTAACCCCCTTTTCCCTATGTTTTATTCCCAAATCAGAAATAGAAAATCCCTAAAAGCAAACCCCCAAATTTCATTTTAATCCCATTACCATTCCGTCGATCCCCCGCCATTGTTCGGTCGCTAGTGACCATCATTGTCGATGCCAACGTGAGTGATTGATCACTGTGATCAAAACCCCGTTGAGAGTGTCCCATGAGCCACTGTCGTTCGACGTGGAAAGCTCGTCGAAGTTTTTTTGGAAAACTCAAAACCACCGCAGTGTTATCAACGAATTTTGACCGATACAATCACCGTTAGGCCTCACCGTCACCATCCATGTGCTCCTCGACTTCTTGCGAACCAAACCCAATAGGTGTGAACATCCTCGTCGTTGTTGTGGAAGGGGGTGAAGCGTGGAGGTTTCGGGTTTGTTGATAAACATATAAAAAGAATGGGTAAATTGGTATTTTATCCCTGAACTATTTTGGGTTTACAAAAAGACCCATGATTAGTAATTTATCTCAAGTTTAAGGGATAAAATAAAAATTAAACATTTTTACTAACATGCCACGTCATCCAACTCACGGCGGCTAATGTCTCAATAACCACGACTTAATTAAAATGAAACAAAAGTGACCACATATTTAAGTTTCTGGATCGAGTGATTGTAGGTTTAAAAAAATGAAACAAAAGTGACCAACTTTGTAGTTTAGCCTATTGTTTTTCTTTCTTCTGTGTTTTCTAACAGTTTTTGTTTTATAACAAAAGTGACCACGTCTTAATTAGAATGTGTTTTGTTGCATTGATTTTTTTGGTGGGTGAGTCTTCAAACGGGGATTTTTTTATATATACAAAGACTCGAACTCGAGACTTAAACAATATCAAGCAACTTATCACTTGAATTAACCCGTTAGTAACGTCCAGAGTTCAATTCTTACCCATGCAACAAGAATATCAATATTTATTCGATTTTTAATTGTATTTACAAGTATTTATCGGTTAATGTTGAAGGCATAGACGGACCTAGGTGCTGGCAGGTGGGGGAGGTTACCCCTCCTAAAAATTTTAAATTTCTATACATTTTAGATATTTTCTTTGTATTATCTATTGAAAATTTGTTTTCACCCTTTCAAATTATATATATATAAGTTTAATTCTCCTTTAAATTTTATAAATTCATCCTCCTAACATAAAATTCTGCGTCCATTGGATATTATAAAACTATATTTTTTATGTCCAATTTAACTTGTTTATTTATTGGATTCTTTTATTATTTTATCTCAAAACATATTTTATAATTAAAATAAATTTAGTGAGATTTATGATTTAAAATATCGAATTAAACATAAACAACACACATAGATATTCTAGCTTAGGAACTTATATATTTTATAATAACCTTTTTAGTAGGATGATCAAAAATTAAAAAATTATAATAAAATTTAAATTTCAAATTAAATGATTTGAGTTTGAAAATAACATAAATAAAGAATAATAACTGTTTAAGTTTAGATTAAATTGAATTTTTACAATTCAAGTATATGATACACATAAAATGTTACGTGGAAACTCTCTCATAATCATTGTTTAAAACAACTATAGAAATCGCTATGTTAAAATTACCACAACATATAATTCGATTCTTACAATCTCAACAAGTACACCGGAAAATAGTTAAATATATAAATAGTCACTTAAGTACGATTGATTTTTTTTTGCATAATACTAAAACTAGCCCCCCAAAAAAACATTTATCAACATAGTCATTTTGGCTTATTCTTTATTTTGAGTATTTTGACTCCCAACATTCCACTTTGAGGTAAAAAGTCCAGTCTGTAGATAAAAATTATTAGTTAACACATGATTGACGCTCTAAAATAAGGGTCTTTTTTTAATCTAAAATAATATGTTGAGGGTTAAAATGTTCAAAAAAAAAAGAATAAAGGTCGAGGTCACCATTCTGTTAAATGTTCGAGCCTTTCTATCTTAAAATAAAATGTTATGGGCCAAAATGCTCAAAAAAATAGAACATGGGTCAAAATGATTATTTCAATAAATATTGGGGGTTAATTTTGATATTATATCTTCTTTTTTCACCATTAAAGTTTAAAAATAATAAAATAATCACAAATGTTAATTTTTTATAACAAATCAATCATTTATATTAATGAAATATCATCTCGATAATAAAATACTGATGTAACATGTTAAACTAAGTAGCTTGGCGCCGTTTGAACATGTTGAAGGGTTGGCCGACCTTTAACTCCAATAAGAAAATGTTAACTGAGAAGAAGAAATGTTATCTGCCACCACCTTTCTTTTCACTCCTCATCTTCTTTCTCCGGTCGCTCTCTTGGTCACCATGCCTTTCCCTCTTTCTCTAAAATATGCTTTAACTTTTAAGTCCTTTTATCTGCATTTTGATGCATGTTGTTTAGCATGTGATTGCCTTGTTTGAAATTTCAATTATAAATGTAACACCATTCAGGTTGTTTCTGCACTCAATATTTACGACAGTTCACAATTAGAGCTGTAAACAAGTCGAGCCGAGCTTGACTCGACTTGAAAACTTTAAAATGGAATTTTACTCAACTCGAAAAATTGCGAGTTTAAAATTTTCAAGTAAAATGAATTATTATCATGAAGAGAATTACCAAAGATACCAAATTTCGACGAATAATATCACATTCCTGACCTAAGATCTTACTCTTCTTCATCCAAACATAAGATCACCATTCATAATACGAGATTCCATTAAAAAAAAGCACAAGAGAAAGGCTAATCACACATGGAAAACACAAGCTGAGAACCAAAAACTGACGCACAATCAGAGAATGTCATATTCAATTGTGTTTAAACACATGAGAAAGCAGAGCAAGTCTGCAAGCCATAAGTCACAAATTCAGGTACTAATACGACTCGAAAAGAGGTCACTCTACCACGATAGACAAGTCTTAAAAGAATTCTCCTCCATCGAATTAACTCTGCAAAGATGGAACAAAATCAATAAATATTTGCACCGAAAAAGATATCTAACATTCCAGGATAAAAGAAGTCAACGATGATCAATGATTAGTCCAACTTAAATACAGCTAAATTTTTTTTAACATTTTCTTACCTCTGCCTGAGGTTCGTCTCCTTTTGATTGCTCACCTGGAATATTATTTGCAAACAGAAAAGTATCAGTAGCAGCAGTGGACAAAAGAGATTAGCATAGCGGGTGAGCTTATACTTCTTGAAACAAGGGATAAATATATAAAATTCACTCAGACAATAAGTAAACCATGGCAATTAAATATACACCTATATTCATTTACTAAACAACAGATAAACAAGCATGCAAAGCATTTACCTCCTTCCTCTGGCAGATCTGAGGTCCACAAGGTGAGATTATCCCTGAGAAGCTGCATAATTAGGGTGCTATCCTTGTAAGATTCTTCATTAAGGCTATCGAGTTCAGCAATAGCCTCATCAAAAGCTTGTTTAGCCAGATGGCAAGCCCTGCCCAAATGTTGCATCACATCAGATAGAAAGTAGCTACTAAAGTGGAACTTGTATCAAGTTCATGCTTCATCTATAGGTATTAGAACATGTAAACAACAAATGAATGGCTATTACGGAAACTATTCCTGAAATTAGCACTAAATGAAGCATGGTCATCATTGTCCCCAATAAACCAAAAGTTTTCAAAGAGATTCATGCATGTGAGCCTAAATATGAGAAGGGGGGGATGCACTCCGACCTCTCAGCAGAATTTAATATCTCATAGTAGAAAACAGAGAAGTTCAAAGCCAGGCCAAGTCTAATTGGGTGAGTTGGAGGCAAATCAGAATTTGCAGTAGTTGTGGCAGCCTACAATACAAATAACAACACACACTTGTCAACTTTGTAATATGAAATCAAAATAAAGGGCAGATGAAGGGAAGAAGAGCAAGAACAATAAACAGAAAATGGGGACAGGCGAGTTTCATGCACCTCATAAGCCTCAAGGGACTGATCAGCAGCTTCTTTACGATCATCTCCTGATTTAAATTCTGCCAAATAACGGAAATAATCTCCTTTCCTGTAAAAATAAACGGGAATAGATAAGGATATAAACAAAACTATTGCCTTTAAAAACATATAGGCAAGATAATCCTCACATCTTACAGTAGAAAACGGTTGATTCCCCGGTCGAGGAAGACGGAATTAGATGCTTATCAATGACGGATAATATATCATTGCAGATCTTCGCTAGCTCATCTTCAACTTTCTGCCGGTACTCCTTTATCCTCTTCACATTTTGTTCATTACCCTTAGCCTCTTCCTTCTGTTCGATCGAAGACAATATCCGCCATGATGCCCTTCTTGCCCCGATCACATTCTTATATCCCACAGATAACAAATTCCTCTCCTCCACAGTCAGTTCAACATCCAACTTAGCAACACTCTTCATGGCCTCAACCATTTCTGTAATAAAAAGGTTTCTAAAATCTCAAAACAGATTTCCGATGAGCTAAAATTTCAACAAATCATAAGCAGCAACTTAAAAACAAACCAAATTTCACACATAAACATTCACATGAAAAATAAAAGCAAGCATTTTAGTTACGCTATTCAAGTTTTAAACTTTAATAAGCTAAAATACTAGCAATTGCTTTGGCATGTGATCCAACTTTTTCGCTACAAAATATGTTCATCTCTCTCTCTCTCTCTTTTCCCATCCATCTACAGCTAAAACTTAAAAAATACTTTTTTAAAAAAAAAACAAAAATGAAATCCTTTATTTTTCGCCATCAACTTCATTACTCATTTTCATTATATCATCAAATCAAAACTAAAGTCTTTACTATCCTCTACATCACAGATCACAGATCATTAAGCTAAAAAACGTAGTAAAAAGGGGGAAAGCAAAACTACAATCTAAATCAGAGATTCATCATTGGATAAAAGATTTTAAAAAGGATTAACAAATTTACCTTCATATCTTTCAGCTTGCTCGGCCAGTCTTGCCAAGTAAACTTGTTGCTCTCTTTCCATGTTCGTCACTTCTTTCTCCGCCTTCGTCTCTTCTTCGCTCTTAAGGGATTGCTGTTTGGGGGGAGATGGAAGGCAATAAAACTGCCTTTTTAGAAATGAATCTGACCGTTGGATGTGCTCCGATGGGTGAAGCTGAATTAACGGTCCAGATTGAGTTCTCTGGTGAGGACTTCGAGAAAACATAAAATGGAAATGTCTGTTTGGTGCGGGGGAAAATACTGCAATCAGAACGGGTGCATCTGCTCTAGATGTTTCCACCGTTGGATTAACGTCGAGATCACATGATGTTGACTGAGACGACGACCGATTACTTTTTATCATCTCTTTTGATAATTTAATAAGATATAATAATAAAGTTACCTTAATGTATATACAAATGATCACTTTGTCCTTGTGTATTTTATCGGGTATTTTAGCTTTAATATTTTTTATTTTAGAATAAAATATTCTCAGGTGGATAGAAATTATTAGTTGACCAATGATTAATGTTTTCTATTGACGTGATAGGTTCACGTGTGATGTCACGTCATCAAAAAATATTTTTAAGTTATTTTTACATATATTTTTATAGATTTATATGTAATTAATTATAATTATAGTATATTCTAAAAATAATTTATTGCTGAGATGACATCGTACGTGGACTTGCTACGCCTGAATGAAATATTAACAGTTAATCAACTAACAATTTTTATTTAATCATGGGACATTTTGTTCCAAAATGAAACATGGAGCAAAAATACTCTTAAGAAAAAAGATAAGAAGCAATGTGATCATTTGTACAAATATTGGGAGTGATTTTATTATTATGCCATTAAATAATTGATAAACTATTTGGATTGATAAGTTTCCTTTTACATTTGTATATCTTTACTTATTAAAATTAAACAAATTGTATTATGATCACTTATATTATTAATTTATTAAATTTTGGTCACTTGTATTATCAATTATTACCCAAATGAAGACTAGGAGGTGACAACGGTCATCCAACTAGGCATCTACAGCTGTGCAAATAACAACCATAGTTCAATCCGTCTATATAGGCAATCCTATTCAATGATGCATTATAATTTTGATGATGAAATACTATTTACTCTGAATTTCCTTTCTATTCTCTCAAATTCTTCTTCGTCTTTAACCTAAATCTATCCAAGTTCATAACAAGATCGCATATCATTAAGCTGGAAATTTTCTTTTCTCTCAATTCTTCTTCTTCTCAACCTAAATCTATCCAAGTTCATAGCAAGATCACAAATCATTAAGCTAAAAATGGAGTAAAAAGGAGAAGTAAAACTACGGTCTTAATAAGAGATTTATCATGGATTAAAGATTTTAAAAAGAAAATAGATCTACTGTCAGATCTTTAAGTAAAACTCTAAATTTAAGTAGAAACCCCTAAATCACATCTAAATTCCCCCCCCCCTATTAAATTTAGGATTAGAAAATTTAGGGTTTTAATCAATTAACAACATTGGGGTTTAGACTGTTAATAGCAACACTGGTGGTGGCCGACAATAGGAAAGATTAAAGAATTTAGGGTTTTGGTTCTTGGGGTTTATTTTTACAACTTTTTTTAATATAATTTTAGAAAAAAATGAGTTCTTTAAAATATTTTTTTTAAGTTTTTTAATAAAAAATTTAAAATATATATATAAATATGACCTTTTTTAGCAATGGTTAAAGGGTAAACAATTTTTTAAACAAAAAATTCTTTAAACATGTAAAATTAACTTTTTGATATGATTGAACACTTATTTTTACTTTAAACCATTAAAATATAATTAAATTGAAAACATAGACAATAATCCTTTTAGCACTAACGTATTGATATTTGCCGCAGCTTCGATCTTCGTTTTCTATTATAAATAAATTGATGTAAAAAAGGAAGCAAAGCTCTCGAGAGAAGATTGTTTTCCATGCCGTTTCAGGGTTAAAAGAAGATATCCACAGCATGCATCCCGGTCATGGAAGGGCCAGCTTCAAACGAAAATGGTACAAGGCGTTCATGGTAGCCCCATTGAACCACACCATCAAAATCAACTTCATCTATACACAACAATATACACTCAATTCCTAGTCACCTTCATAAACAAATTAAACATCTGAACCTAATTTATAGAACGAATTTGCATGAGATGAACCCTACATTTATGGTTTCTTGTCTAATATGTAATCAGTATCATCGATCCCCGGAGAACTTGAAGGATAACCCCATGCAGGTATGTATTTTCATGTAGGTTTAATCCACAAACTGGCATCTTGTGTAAACAAACTCTTATTTCAGGTATATACTGCAAACAAAGAGCAATGTGATCTATGAGCTAACCAATTCTATCCCCTAAACCTAAGGACGATGCAAGATATGTCGTCTTTACTGTCCCTATGAACTGCTTCGGCGATTAGTTGTTTCGCAGCCTTCAGTGGGTCTTTAATCTTTCTTGCAATATCAACGGCTTCCTGATTGCTCATCACCTGAATTAAGAACATAGAAAATGAAAATAAATAAATAAATCGTAGATAACTACGTGCAAATCATGCATCCCGAGCGATTCTTTAAGTTGGCACAAAGTAAATAACAAAAATGTATCAAAATGAGGAGACGTCAAAGCAAAAGGATTTACCTTCCAAAGGCCATCACTTGCAAGGATTAAAATATCTGTATTGTCATCTAAATTGGTGTTTTGAATGTCCGGATCTGATCGCAGATGTGATTTAAGGCTCTTGTCCCCGAAAGCACGTGAAACTGCCAGTTGTCCATTAACTCTGGGGACATCTCCTGACAACATACAAAAACAACAGATTAACAATGTCATCTACATCAGACCACCCTCCCAGCCTTTTTTTTCTTCTCAATTAACACGAATTATGACAAAACATACAAAAGCTAAGAAATGGTATTACAATATTCAGGGTCATATTTTACACATGGATAATGATGCATTTACATTAACCAAATTAGGACAAGACCTTAATACCAATCAATGGTAGAAACCTCAACGGAATAGAATTAGCAGAACTGATGTTTTCAGGCCTCGGCTTTTCTCTTGGTGTCTTGAGCAAGTATTTCCAAGGCCAATAAACACAAAGCAAAACAAAGAAAGCATAAACAAGATACTGGTGGATGGCAGTTTCCTTTTCAGTTGGCAAGATCAAGATTTTGAAAAATGCAAAGGAAACCCATAATCTAGATTTTTCCAGGAAATCCATATTTTTATGGCTTCACCATATGCTTGCCCGGTGCACTTTTACTTCACAACCAACAGAAAGACATGCCTTAAGAGACCCTTAAGCTGTTATAAAACAAGGAACAGAAAAGTAAAACAGAGTGCAGAATTTCCTCAGTGCTTAACATGTGAAAAGGAAAGGCAAACACTTCAGTCAGCTAAATGATTAAACATGCTAAATAATACTTAGCTATAACCACGAAATTCAACCAATAATCGGAACATTTGCCTCAATCAGCATTTACACCAGACTTTCTTCAACTTAATCCAAAAAGAAGAGTGCACACTAATAAGGGTGATTGCAAGATAATCCTTTCAATGTAATTGATCCATTCTTGATAAATAGATTAACTAACTGACGGCCGGTCTTATTGGGGAATGAAACTACATGGACATGAGTATATAGTACATAAAAGAGCAATTGCTCATCAGGAACTGAACAGATCAGGAAATTAGTACTTAGTAAAGTTGAAATAAGCTATTTTATGAACTTCTGACACAAAAGTGTTACGAATTAGAAGCTGCAAAAACACTTAAAAATAATCAGCAGGCTTGGGTCTTGACTACTCAACTGTCTAGCCAAAAATATTCGTTGAGTTATCAACATATATGATTAGACGTGCACAGGCTCAAAGAACTACTAAAATTGGTTGCAGTAAAAGACCTGGCATATTTGAGACAAATCCACCTCTGTTCTCAATGCTGCCTCGTTCAGTGCTGGGTTCATGATCTGTGCTCATCTGTATTGCCTGACCCCCTCTTGAAAGAACTGCACGAGAATCTCCAACATTTGCCACCCATAACCTTATTCCGTTTATCAGTATTGCAGTTACAGCAGTGGATCCGCCACGACCCAAGTCTGAGCTATGTGAAAGAATTGCTTGGTCTGTTTTCTCATAACCTTTGGAGATGGCTCTGGATGGGTCAACCCAAAACTCTTCCTACAATAAGTGAAAAAATGTAAGCATATATTGTCTTCAAAATAATAAACCAAATTATGTAAGTGCCCCTCTAAAAATGATATGACACATCTCACCTCCTTTAGGATATTGGAAAACAAATGCTTCTGTAGGTAGGAAGGAATACCATCTCCCAAATGACCATCGTAGATAGCGAAAAGCCCTAACTCATGCTCATGAATCTGCATGAACTTAGCGACATGATAATCCTCCATAGGATGATTAGCTTTCCCTTTAACTAGGCTGAAACCGAACTTTGTCATACCCTCACGGCTTTTCCCCTTACCAGAACTTGAATACGAACGCCTTTCTCCAAGCTGAAAGGACAAACTAAGAACAATAAATCTCATTGTAAACCAAACATAGCCACATTGCTTAATGGAAACAAAAGCAACCTCGTACTAATCCAGTTTTCAGAACCATCAAACAAGTTGCACTAACCACCGAAGTTTACAACTCATCCAAAGCAATGGTTACCAAGTTAGAAACATTATTTTCTTTTTACTGCTAAAAAATGGTTAGCAATGTTTATCTTACAGTGAAAAATACATAAAAAAATGTTTCAATGCTGTAAAGCTCATTACTAGGAAGTCTTTATGAAAAATGCTTGTAACCCCAAAACAAACCTAACATGAAATGACCAAATCTTCTCCAATAAGCAGCAGATTTATTCAATTCTAATCACAGTACACCCTTCCCCAGCAACTAAATTCATAACTCCCAATTAGCTAACACAAGAAAATTACGGAAATCAATTGAAGAAAACCCAATATTAACCACAGACCAGTCCATAAAAAATCATAATTAATTATCATTTACCCAACTAATATGGGACCACCGTGAAAAACCTTAAAGATAGAAACATGCTTTACCTGAGATGAACTAAAGCAGCACAACCGATCCATAGAAAATAAAATTGTACAAAACCTCTAATTTTGCAAACTAATTTCCCTTCAGCGTCAAATTGTAGGTCACCTGCTATCCAAATTAAAAGCCTGAAGCATCAGAACCCGAAAGCATTAAAGTAAATCCCTTTAAACCATAACCCTAAAATCCACGAAAATAAGAGCAAAAAGCAAGAAGTGGGTATTAAAGAATCACCCTAACGAGGATCAATTCAAAGGCCAAAGTATGGCCTTGCTTGCCGCTGCTGGGTGAAGTCGTCAAGAGCATAACATTTTGAAGATCTTTTTTCTTTTTTGTGATAGAAGGAATCAAGCTTTAGGATATAGATGATATGATATGATGAATTAGTTGAGGAAGAGGCTTCTTCTACTTCTCTGACACGAATTAGTTTTAATATATGATTGACTTTGCTGATTCTGGTTGTACCCTTCCTTGTTTGGCACTCTCACTTCATCTCTCTACCTCTGCCCAACACGGCATAACCATATCCATTGAAACCAATTGCGACACAAATCAAATTAACTCAGTAAAATGGTTGTTATTTTTAATGGTGTTGAGTTCGATCACGAGTAAGTGTAGTAAATGTGATTCAACGTTTAATATCAAATAATTTAAAAAAATATTTAAAATAAATATTATTTTTAATCATCTTAACTCAATAAAAAAATATAAACTCAATTGTGTGTTTTTAGGAATTTTAAACTATTATTAGAGAATTGATATTAAATTATTAAAGTATATTACTTTATTATTTAAAAAAAAATGATCATCCAGCTCAGTTGGTAGAGCATAAGGTTCTTAACCTTGAGGTCGTGGGATCGAGTCTCACGGAGGACATTTTATAATTTGGAGGTCTCTTACGGAAACTGCTCTCAACCTGGTATTGGGGGTAGCTTACTATTTTACATCCCCTTACTCCATATATATGGGAAAAATGGATAGTCATTTACTGTATTATTTTAAAATAAAAATTAAAAAATATATTTAAATAAAATTAAGAGTTCGAATTTTAATATTATAAATAAAATAAATTGAGTTAAAGAAATCATTCTATTAAGAGTTTTTTTTTAATATTTAGTCAATTAAATCGATGAACAAGTCTTCCGCGTAAAAGGTTATACAAAATTATTCCTTGTATATATATTTTTAGGATCTTTATCATATATGGTGGAATTATTCTTTAATACATCTATTATCATTTTAATAGTACGATATAATTATAAAATAATATATATTAAGATATTTTCTTAATTTATTAATAATACATACTATAAATGTATTATCGAATTTAAAACTTTAAGAACAATAATATTCAATAATATGTAGTTGCTCTCCCTTTCCTCCTTTTTTTTTGCTTTGAGTTTGTGTCGGTTTTTATAGATCATGTCAAGTTTTTCTTCTTTGATTTTGTTTAGTCGACAATGTCACTAATTTTGATGATAGTTGTCAACTGTCGGTTCTCTTTTCTCTTTTTTTGTTTTAATAAGAATAATTATATTTTTGTGACACGTTTATCTCTACCTTTTTGGCAACGATTTTGATGTTAGTTTCGAAATTTCATGTGCAGGTGGCCTTAATTGCACGTTTTTAAAGCTTCCAACGGTTAGAATACATCTCCAACGGTCATAAACGACTAACAACTCATTCCACATAATAAAACACTCTAAAAACATTTGAAGATGTTATTACACTTATCCAAGCTTAAAGATCAAGAAAAAGAGTCTCTAATATTTATTCTTCTATTTTCTCTTGTACATAAGTGTATAAAACTTAATTGCATATCCTTTGTTTTTATTCTTTACAAAATAGTTTAGTAAGTTTCTCTTTCCCGTTAATGTTTCAAAAGTAACGATAAAATAAAATTTAGCTGACTCTATTCCCATATGTAATGGGATAAGGGGGAGGTAGGGTAGTAGGCTGCCCCAATACCAGGTTGAAAGCACCTTCCGTGAAAGACCTCCGTTATGAATTGCCTTTAGTGGGAATATAACCGATCTGATTGTTAATATAACCGATCTACAATAAACCTACCACTCGGTGTTAACAATCGTTATTGGAGAAATAAAATGTTGATATAACTCCTATTTTTTATCGACTTTTAACACGGTTGTTTGTGAAAAATTAAAGAGCTAGGGATGCTCAGAAAATCCGTCGACTTGAGTCTAACCAGCCACGGGAGTGCATGGATAAGTTATCGGGTGAGCCGAATTCCATTGCGGAAGGTGAGTTCAAGCTGAATGCATCCATCGTTGAGTCCATATCCACCAAGGGATATTTCGTGCCTTGAATCAAATTATGGGAGAAGAAAAACAATTTACATGAAAGGGAATAGTTCTTGGTTGCGTGATTGGATATAAGATCACCAAAGATTATGTTGCACACACGATGGCATCACCACCAGCTACTGCCCAGTGCCCAGGTGACTCACGTGATTCAAGCTGCAAAGAATGTCCAAGATTTGTGCAGAGGGACTAGAGAGAGAAAAACTCCACGTGGCTTAATCGATTTCGTCTTTTAATTAACTTATTGCCTTTGTGTTGTTTAAAAGCTCGTTGGTGAGCGGGAAAGAAAAACATGCAAAAACCCTAAACTTGTTTCTCCTTCTCTAATATCTTCTTTTCTATCCACCCGTCTCTATTTTCTTGCATTCACGAAATCCATAACAGATTAAAGTGACAGAATTCTCTTAATTAAGGGTTATGTTTATAATTATCAATTAACTAAAATTGTCCACCTTTGGCATGGGCATAGAGGCTACGTGGCATGAGTTCGAATCAGTATTTCGTTATTCCAGTAATGACTATAAGCGTTTAGTGGCTGATTTGTTATAAATCGATATCAGTGACTATATAATTAGTTTTCAAACATTAGTGAAAAAATAGAAACTTATTTAAACATAAGTGATCATTTCTATAGTTTACCCTTTTATTTCACTCTATACATTTCATATCCGCACCAAACAATTTTCTTTTTCCTCCCGGTCTCTCTCTCTCTCTCTCTCTCTCTCTCTCTCTGTCTCTTTCTTACCGACCACTTCTAAACATCAGTGATCATTTCTAAACCGAGGTTGCCGGAGAGTCCATTTTATCCGACATTTTTGCTAGCTTAAGAGGTTTGCTTTTCAATTATGTAAAGCTCTTTCTTTCTGTCTTTATTACGGGTGAGTTATTTTGATTTTCTCGTTTGAATTTTTTTGTTGAGTTTCAGATCTGTGTTTTTCTCTTTAGGTGGCTTAATTGGTGAGCGTGTGTGTAAAGTGTATTATAGAGGAATACACTTGTATTAGTGTAAAATTAATCAAGCTTTATACACTTTTATTAAAGTTTTTTATGATTAATATTTTAATAATTCAACTGTTTAATTTGATATTTTATTCTCACATACCATGTTAAACTTTGAATAAATTGAAAATAATTAACTTTTTTATATGTAATATTGTCCGATTATTAAATATATATTGATGAAGATATCATTTCAGGTTGACATGATAAAAATATTAGATTGATTTGAAAATTTATATGCACAATCATATCAATAAATTTAACTGTTAGATTGTTGAAATATCAATCCAAGAAAGATTTATGGAACTTAGTTTAAGTTTTCCACTGGTGTAAGTTGATCCCTCTCTCGTGTGCGTACGCTCTCTCTCTCAGTCTCGCGTGTGTATATACGATTTCCATATATGATTCCCATATATATATATATATATGTGTGATTGAGGTTGGTTGTAGGAAAATTTATTCTTATCATTGAACCACCATGGTAATCATAGATAGATAGACAGACAGACAGACCTTCTTTTTATATATCTTCCTAGCATGCTTCTTTGCTATTAAGGGTTTTTTGCTTTCTTCTTATCCAAAATAATTGGGGCTCTAATCCTTTTATCTGTTCTTTTTGGAACTGTAGATCTCTTGTTTTAAATCTTGTGTTTCATTTCCACATATTGACGTGAAAGAAATGGACGGGACTAAAGAGATGGGACTTAAAAATGTGAGCTCAGTTTGCTCAATCTCCGAAATGGATGATTATGATCTCTCACGCCTCCTCGATAAGCCGAGGCTTAACATAGAGAGGCAAAGATCATTTGACGAGAGATCGCTGAGTGAGCTCTCTATTGGTCTCGCAAGAGGAGGTTATGAAAATTATGAGAACACTTACTCTCCCTGTAGGAGGTCGAGATCGGGTTTTGATACTCCGGCTTCATCAACAAGAAACTCATTTGAACCACACCCCATGGTGGCTGAAGCATGGGAAGCTCTCAGGAGGTCTTTGGTGTATTTCAGAGGCCAACCGGTTGGTACCATTGCGGCATATGACCATGCTTCTGAGGAGGTTTTGAACTATGATCAAGTAAAGTTCCCATCAGATTCTTCCCAAAAAAAAGTTCATTAAATCCTGTTTATTGGTGATAATGCAAAATATTATTGATATCAGTATATGCATAAAACTATGATTTAGTGCTGACTATGATCATAAGTTAAGCATCCGCCATGAAACACTTCAAGACAAACATGGGAACTTTAATATGGAAAGGGAAATCTGATTACTAAAATAGTTGGTGAGGAAAAATGGGAAGAGAAAGTATCTTTAATTGTTTTTTAAGCTAGAGACTAGAAAAATTCATAATATTTGTAGTTACCTTTAACACTTGAGATTCTTACCATTTCAGTGATTGAAATTTTCCGAGTTCGTTCAGGTTTTTGTTCGAGATTTTGTACCCAGTGCTCTGGCTTTTCTGATGAACGGAGAGCCTGAGATAGTTAAGAACTTTCTCTTGAAAACTCTACAACTTCAAGGGTGGGAGAAAAGAATCGATAGATTCAAGCTGGGAGAAGGTGCAATGCCAGCTAGCTTCAAAGTTCTTCATGATCCTGTACGAAAATCAGACACAATTATTGCAGATTTTGGAGAGAGTGCCATTGGAAGAGTTGCTCCAGTTGACTCTGGATTCTGGTGAATCATTCTTCTTCGTGCATATACAAAATCTACGGGTGATTTATCCCTGGCTGAGACCCCCGAGAGTCAGAAAGGAATGAGACTCATACTGACGTTGTGTCTGTCGGAAGGATTTGATACATTCCCAACCCTACTTTGTGCTGATGGATGCTCAATGGTTGATCGAAGAATGGTAACCTATCCTTCTGGCCTTAATCTTTCTCTCTCATTTGCGCATGCATATGTGCTTTCCTGCTAATATACATATAACATCGGTTATCACTCTTGTTCTTTGATTTAACCTGAGACACACAAAGCTTCTGAGAAATCAAGGGTACCGGGATATATATGATTATTAATTAAAAATATATAGTGTAGCCGAGGAACAAAGAGAATGGAGCAGTATAACCTATAGAAATCTGGTTGCTTGGTTTTGATTTTTATCACGTTGCTTCGTTTTACTGTGATCATCTGGTTGCCTTTT